TGAAGTCAACATTATTTTAGATTTGAAATTGGATCAATTTCCTCTCTTTTCTCGTTCCAAATTATTGGACAATTTTTTAATCGAAATGGGAGAAACATTCACTCGAAGCATTGCCATTGATGTTTCAAAAGGGAGAAACATTGATGTGAGATATAAACCCAAAGATTTTGAATCCAGACTCTTGACCGATAAGGACATTTATTTTGCATTTGCCTTGTGTGAAGATACACCCGATTGGCGACTCTGTCTTCAAGAAGAAGGTCTTTGCTTGTATTATTCAAAGACAGTCTATTCTTTTGGAACCTCTAATCCCCATGCGCTCAACAAGTATGTTTTATCATTTCCGTATCCCCTTGAGAAAGTCTATTCAGTGTTTAGTGATCGAGAGTCACGACTCAAAATCGATGAGGGAATGATGTCAATTTCACATGCCATGACCTACCGTCCTCCTCATCACAGTCATGCGAGTAACAATAAGGCGATTGTGGAGTCAGTGACCGAAGAACGAGAGCAATTCTATGATGAAGATCAACCACCCCTTGCTCTAACACTTGGATGTTTTGGAATGGATTTAAAACTACCTTGCGTTAAGAAGAGATTTTGTTGGTTTTCAGAGACTACTATTTATGATCCCTATGCAGATTGTATTGTGACAGTGGGACATTCCACTCGATCTTTTTCACATCCGGATGAACAAGAATTAACACGAGGCAAAGTATTGATTGATATCTTGTATTGTAATCTTTTCATTAGGATGAATGAGAATACCACTCGATTCATTCAGACCTCCTACTTTGATCCAAAACTTCCAATCACAGATGGATTCATCATCAATGCATCCTTAAAGTCTCGTGCGAGACATTTCAGAAAGAACTTTCTCAAACTATTAGAAACGATTGATGACAACTCCCCCATCTTGCAAGCAGATTCATTCCAAAGTAAGAAGGCTATTGCAGACAATCAGCTCGTCTATCCTGGACGATCATGGTTTCAAGAATATGAATCAAGGAAAAAAGG